TTTGGGTCATTTTCCCCCCTGCCCCCACCCCCTCCCTTACCACCCACTCCACCCCCTCCCGCTCCCCCCCTCAATACCCAGCAGAAACTATTTTGCCCTTATTTCTAATTTTGTTGTAGAGAGAGTATAAGCAGTAATAGGAAGGAACAAGGGGTTTTGCTGGTTGAGATAAGGATAGCTATACAGGGCATTAACTCACATTGATTTCCTGTGCGTGGGTGTTATCTTCTAGGTTAATTCTTTTTGATCTAACCTTTTCTCTAGTTCCTGGTCCCCTTTTCCTATTGGCCTCAGTTGCTTTAAGGTATCTGCTTTAGTTTCTCTGCGTTAAGGGCAACAAATGCTAGCTAGTTTTTTAGGTGTCTTACCTATCCTCACCCCTCCCTTGTGTGCTCTCGCTTTTATCATGTGCTCATAGTCCAATCCCCTTGTGTGTTTTGCCCTTGATCTATGTCCACATATGAGGGAGAACATACGATTTTTGGTTTTTTGAGCCAGGCTAACCTCACTCAGAATGATGTTCTCCAATTCCATCCATTTACCAGCGAATGATAACATTTCATTCTTCTTCATGGCTGCATAAAATTCCATTGTGTATAGATACCACATTTTCTTGATCCATTCGTCAGTGCTGGGGCATCTTGGCTGTTTCCATAACTTGGCTATTGTGAATAGTGCCGCAATAAACATGGATGTGCAGGTGCCTCTGGAGTAACAGTCTTTTGGGTATATCCCCAAGAGTGGTATTGCTGGATCAAATGGTAGATCGATGTCCAGCTTTTTAAGTAGCCTCCAAATTTTTTTCCAGAGTGGTTGTACTAGTCTACATTCCCACCAACAGTGTAAGAGGGTTCCTTTTTCCCCGCATCCTTGCCAACACCTGTTGTTGGTGGTGTTGCTGATGATGGCTATTCTAACAGGGGTGAGGTGGAATCTTAGCGTGGTTTTAATTTGCATTTCCTTTATTGCTAGAGATGGTGAGCATTTTTTCATGTGTTTTTTGGCCATTTGAATTTCTTCTTTTGAGAAAGTTCTGTTTAGTTCATTTGCCCATTTCTTTATTGGTTCATTAGTTTTGGGAGAATTTAGTTTTTTAAGTTCCCTATATATTCTGGTTATCAGTCCTTTGTCTGATGTGTAGCTGGCAAATATTTTCTCCCACTCTGTGGGTCTTTCTGCTCTCTTTTTGCTCCCCCACCCCTTTTTTTTTTTTTTTTTTTTGGTGACATTGGGGATGGGACCTCTTACACAAGCTAGGCAAGCACTTTGCCACTGAACCACAACCAGCCCTGCTCCCATTTTTGAAACACAGTTAGGATCATGTGACTTGACTTCCTCTAAGCTGTCATAGAGAATGCTCCCTTGAAATGTCACTTCTCCAAAGAGGCTGTTCTGATAACACGTTTGTTGCTCTCAGATCACCCTACACTTAATGACTCAAAACAGCAACGATTCTTTTATTACCTGTCATGATTTTCAAAGGTCAGGGATTCAGGAAGGACTTGGCTGAATGGTTCTAACTCTGAGCTTCTCAAGTGGTTGCAGTCAGATGACCAGAGCTGGGGGCCTGCTGGAATTCCCTGCTCTCTTTTGGCAGCTTCTGGGCCCTCTATGTGGCACAGCTTGAGCTTCCTCTCAGCGTGGTGGCATTGGGAGAGTCAGGTTGCTTAGAGAAGGCTTCCAGAGCACATGTTGCAGCTCTCCCACTTTTGTGGCCCAGCCTCAAAAATTACACAGCGTCATTTTGGACATACTGTGTTGGTCAGAACTGTTACCAGTGGGTGGCCTCAGAAGACCCTGGTTGAGAAAATCTCAGGTCCTTGGTGTCCCAAACAAAGAATTGGGTCTAGACACACAGATTGCAAAGTAACAGCAGTGTTTTATTGAGAGTGAAAGATGAATGAAAGCAAGAAAGTACACTCCTCAAGGAAGGGGGGCAGGGAGAAGCAGGCTCTGAGCAAGGTGGCTTAAGTGCAGCACCTGTAGCTCAAGAGCACCAGTGCCTTGGTTTGGATGCGTATTTATGGCAATGGGTGAGCAAGAAGAGATTTTGGTGGTTCTTAGGAGTGGCTTTGGTGATTGACTGCACATGTGACTCCAATGAGTTGTTATTAGGGGCTCTTGTGTGCATGCTCCAGCTTGGGTTCAGATGAAGATGCTATGTCAAAAGGTGCATTTTGGGCTGGTGGAGTTGCTTAAGTGGTAGAGTGCCTTCCTAACAAGTGTGAAGTCCTAAGTTCAAACCCCAGTACTGCCAAAAAAACCCACAAAAACCAAAAGGGGCATTTTGGGGTGGTTCTTGGTGGAGCTAGGTCACCTTTCCCCCCTGAGACACACCTGTCCCCCATGACCTGGTTTGGGTACTTTCCCTAAATTTTCTGTCTCAGAACCATCACAGAAACCCACCAGGTTTCAAGGGGAGGGGTTATGACATCTCTTGTCAATGGAACGAGTGTCAAAGAATAGTAGACGTATTTAAAAATGACTATAGATGCACACCATCCCTGAGCCTACATTATAGTGCCCTGAATATCTCCCTATAACACACAATGCCTTTTGCAAGTCTGTATTTTACTTGTTGACTGTGTGATGTCTACTCAAAGGCTGGGCCTATGTATTTGGCTCACCAACAAACTGGAACATGGTGGAAGATCAATACATACATGAGTGAATAAAAGACGAAACACGTGCTGTTATTTAAAAAATCATCATATGACCAACTAGAAAAATTCCTAGTTTGCTGACAGTTTTAATTCCATCCACCATGACTCTCGCCATTAATATCTATCACAGAGAAGCAGATAAGCAAAGTCAGAAAGGACCACGGGAGAAGTTAAAGACTGGCTCTGTTTACAAGGCCGCCTGGCATCATGGGAACCCCACAGTGCCTCAGGCCAAATGTGGCCCAGCCTCCCCAGGACAGGGGCTAGTTAACCTGATGGAAAATCCAGTTAGGCTGTTGAGGGGAAGCAGGAGTGACAGTGTTTATATTTGATTTTCAGGGGAGGTTGGTAAAACACCATGCCGGAATGGCACTGTTCACCCAGCTGGCTCTCTGGAGGTTATTATGTTGTTCACAGTACATTAACAGGGAAATAAATCCACCGACTGTCATGGTGACAGCTTGTGCGTCATCTCATGTTGCCTAGGAAAACAAGCTTTAATAAATGGGGGCACATTGCTCACCCCAGAAATGGACTGAATGGGGCCCTCAGTGTGATAATTAGTGTTCTCTCCCTCCTGTAGGAGGGAGGCCCAGCCACTTCCTATGGGCAATGGGAAAGAGGGAGTACAGAGATAAGAGGAAAAGAGCCTTTGACAATCACCAGTCAGGCTCAGAAAAAGCCCTGACGTGGCTGAACTCTTTGGAGAGACAGAGGACTAACAGGTTAGGGGGATAAGAGGACCCCTGAGCCAAGCATCTCTCCATACCGACCGAGGCATTACCTATTTGTCTAGATGTTGATCACGTTGTTCACTAAAGTGGGGAAACAGCAAGAAGCCAGGGGGACAAATGCCAGCCCAGAGGGTCATTCCTGCTCACCCCAGTAGTGAAGTTGATATGATTTTAAGTCTGGTCATGGCAGCATGACCTATCTCATTGCAGCCTGGTGTCATCAAGGAGAACTGGACTTTTGCCACCTGCTGATAGTGGCCTTGCCAAGGCAAATTCCTCTTTGCTTCAGTTCCCTGAACTGTAAATTTAGAAAAGGTGATGGGGAGGATTAACTAGGGTCTGATGAGTTAATTCATGGAAAAGTAGTTTGAATTTAACTGGTGCCTAATTGTGAAATTAGTGCTTTGCTATGTTTATTGCTACTGTAGCACCCATGAATAATTTGGGAAGATTGAAAGAGAGCTTCTGGGTTATCAAGAATGGAGACTATCATGGACCAACAGATGCACAGTATGACTGGCCTCCAACATGGTTTTTGTTTTTTCAGGACTGGAAAGGAAAGGAACAAGGCAGACAGGTATGCACTGGATTGCCAGGAGAAGGCATATTGGCTGGTGCACCGATGTCCTGTGAGTATGGGGTCCCCCATCTTTTCCGAGCCTCCCCTGTATTCTTCCCCTGTCTGCCTGTATTCCCCATGCCTGTTACCAGCTCCTCTTCCTCTGGGGTTAGAGTTGGATTATCAGGAGTTGCTGTTTAGTGTTGGTGCCCGCCCAGCGGGAAAAGGACATGCACTGTGTCTGGCTGGGGTCTGCTCATGGCCTGTCTGTGCTCATGGTCCCTAACACCAAGTGTTAGGTGTCAAGGGACTTGAGTGAATTTGTCTGTGTGAGGGATAGGACTGTTTTATGTTGTTGTTGAAGATACCATATCTTGGGAAAGGAATATGAGAAGTAAAAGTTAGAATACAGGCCCCAAAGCAGAAAAATAAAATACTGTGAGAATGGACACTGTGCATGGCAAATGCAGTCCTATGCCTCCGGCTCCCTCTTTGCTTCCTCTAGGTCCAGACCAGCAGCTGCGATGAGAGGAAGAGAAAAGGAAAAAGTGTGTGCTAAGCTTCTCAGTGCTTGGAGAAGCTGGGTTTGGGACTTCCAGTGGGTCAGAGAGGCAAGCGTCCATGACTGAGAAATAGCAGCCTCATTCCCTGGCACAGAGAAGCAGGCTGTGGACACCACTGCTGGGGTGAATTCTGCCTTAGTTTCCTCCTGGGTCAGGCCCCTGTATTTCCTTGGATCATGGGAGGTGGGAGATGTGAAGGAGATTTCAGGACCTGAAGAGTTCAAAATGAATGGTCTTCCTCTTTCTCTTCTAGTTCCCTTGCCTCCTGCCAGGTATCAGAAATTCTCAGAACCAGAAAGTAAATTGGATCAGGCATGGTGCCAAAGCTTAGGGATTTTTAAACTTCAGTCCCATCAGAGTTTGGCTGGTTTGTTTATTTTCTTTCAAACAGATTCTCTTTAAGGTGTTGCCACAGTGGTGTGTCAGTCTGAATGTCACGAGGCCAAGGTTAAGGTTCTGGGGTTGATGCGCAACGAGATTGTTTGGTTTTTCTTGCTTCAGGGTCTTCCTTTAGGGAAAACCATTTGCAGATGCCTGACGCTGGTCCCTGGGGCTGGGTGTAGAGGACAGACAGGGTTCTGGAGGCTCAGAGCCAAGCCTGGGCCTCCCTGTTGGTAGCTTTGGAGTGAGATCATTGTATGAACTGAACATTGCTCATGTGTTCCAGAAGAAACACACCTTGGCAAGGAGAAGGGAAAAGGGCAGGTATGTCACTTGTCTGGTAAGGTGACCTGTGCCAGGTGGCATCACAGCCAAGGAACCCCATTCCTTGCAGGGTGGGAATGGCTTCCATTGTATGTGCAGAGAGTCTATGGTTAGAATGCATTCCTTGCAAAGTGACACAGACTAGCCATGCACATGAGCTGTCCCGGGCCCCTCTCCTTCTCTCTTGGAATCCAGAAGGCCTATCAGAAAGAAAACAAATTACATTCCCCCTCCGGTTCTCCCCAGTTCTCCTGGAGTAAGCTCTTAGCTCCTACTAGGCAAGTGACTGAGTGGCTCTTCACAGCACAATATAGAAGTACATAAATATGACAGTGTGTCTGCATGGTCACTTCTCCCTCTCTTTCCCTCCCCCATCTCTACAACAATGACTGTTATCTCACCTCCATCTTCAACACCTCCCTCCCCCTCCTCTACCTCCTTCCTTACTTCTCCCACTTCTGCCACTTCCACCACCACCACCACCACTATCTGTTGTCACTGCTATTGTCATCATCACAGCAGACCTATGTACCTGACACTGTGCTAAGCATTCTGAACTCACTCTTATTTCTTCTTTGCAGCCCTGTATGGAAAACAGTAATATTATTATTCCCATTTTACTGATAAGCAAGTTGAGACTCAGGGATGTTGACAATTTGCCAACAGTCACAAGGTTCCTAAGGATTAGAGGATCTGAGCTGGGAGGTCTGAGTGGGGAGATCTGACTCCTTCCCCTTGGTCCCTGTGCCCTTTGCTGCCATGACAAGGTTATGCAATGTATTCATGCACTTTGGTGTTTTTGTAGCCTCGTTGGTCATTGGAACATTACCTCTGTCACTGATGCTCCAGTAAACATCACACCTGAGTTCAAATGTGCGCGGTTCCTCTTTGATAGCCTGGGGGATCCAAATTCAGATTGAGGCTTTGGTGTACTTGGAGCAGTCCTAAAATGCTCTTCACATCTGATCTCCCTCGCTGTTGTTCCCCTCAGTGGAAACCAGTCCAGCAGTCAGGATGAGGCAGGAGTATGTCCAGCCTGCTTTCCCTGATCCTCCAAGATCACTCTCCACCTCTCACTGGCCTGCACGGGGCAGACAGTGTTAGTCTGAGGAGCCTCTCAGCCTAGATAGAGCAATGTGTCCGACAAGCTCAAGGGGCCCCAGAGCCCACAGACTGCAGACTGTCTCCAGGAATCCCAAACAAACCATCAGTGAGGTGGGAAAAAAGCCAGCCACAACAAACTTGAGCATTTGGCTTTGTGGATGTTGAGCTTCTAATCTGTGGACTGACTGTAGCCACCTGCTGTAGAGTGTGACGCGGCCGCAGTTACCGAACTGATTTATTCACTTGTTCATTTGTCTGTTTCTGAATCTGAGAAATGTTTGCTCTGACTCTGTGCCAAGAAAAGAGCTAAGTGCTGGGTATATAATAGCAGCCAGAAGTCATTGAGCACCTACTGTGTACACATGTGAAGCTCGTGGCATGGCTTGCCTCATTTCATACCTGACAATGATGCTAGGAAGTAGGGAGTATTATTGTCATCACTCAGACGGAAAAATCAAGGCTCGGAGCTCAGTCTTGCTTGATTCTGGACTGTGAGTCCACATTTGTGTTATGACCAAAGCTCCTCCGGTGCTACTGTGCAAGGAGAACCCTGATGTGTCCCCCTCTCAAAGTTCATGGAGCTCAGAATCCAAATTGTCTTCTCAGTCCCTCCCAGAGCTGAGACCCAAGTGCGAAGAGGCTCAGAGAGCAGTGATTGACTTAAGAGGGGAAGGATGTCTGTTGATGCTGTATCAGGAATAACATTACTGGTAGAGGCCAGGATTGGATATGGGGGTGGAAGTTTGGGAATCACAGAGCCCAAACGTCATCCAGGATTCAGCATCCTGTAGTAAGGGAAGATGATGTTCCTTCTTCATTTTTTACCCAAGTGGAGCACAGTACAGCTTTGAGCCAATGCAAACAGTTAGTACTGTAAATGAACACTAGGAGATATTGTTCCTTAAGTGGGTCATTTTAGGAGTCCTTTCTTGTCTTTGCTGCACCACCCATGACTTAGTGCCTTCCAGGAGGGGTAGTCCATCGCTCAGGTCTAGTTTTGTGGGCAGAGACTGCTTGCTGACAGTGTGCCCTAAATCAATGATCACATGTCTAAATATAGAGCTAAGTGGTCCTTGTTTCAACTACATACACAGAACATACACAGAGAAGGAGACATCTGTCCTCCAGTTTCTGCCGAGAATGGGTTAAGTGCCCAATGACAGAGGATGACAAAATAAAGGTGTAGCCAACTTCATGGAGCATGATGAAGCTATTAAAATGAAATTTTCAAAGGCCATTCATTGACATAGAAAAATCATCTGACATATATTGTTATGACAAGAAAACATACACTTTGGTACTAGTAAAAAAACAAAAACAAAAAAACAAGATATACTTTTGCATGTCCACTGTATGCCAGATGCTTAGTAGGTAATGGGGATATTTGGATTATGGGCCAAGACAGACTTGGCCCATGACTCAAGGAGTTTACTACAGTCAAGTGGAGAAAAACTGCTGCACATACGAATGAGTAATGTGCAGGATGTTATAGCAGCTTGTGGAAGACAGGGACCCTGTCTAAGTCTGGGAATCAGGGAACATCTCTCCATGGAAGTGACATTGAGCCAAGACGTGCTTGGAGCAGACTTCTCTAACCTTCTAACCTAAAATTGTCTCCTGTTTCAGCCTCATCTCTCTCTACCTGTTTTAGTCTGTTTATAAAACAATTTAGTGTTTTATTTATCTTTTCTGTTCCATGCATAAAAGCATCTGATACTTTAAGGAAAAGCATGAGGACCAATGAAGGAGATGACTAGAAAAGGGAAGGAGGGACATGGTAGAGGGTGACCAAGCAGTGCATATAAGCTCTCATGCGTTACTCAGGAATGCTGATTCCTGGGAGTGTCACCTTCTCAAGAATCACTTGTTGAAAGTACAAAAAGCCCTTCCCTAACTAACCTGAGTTACTAGACATTTAGCAAATTGCCTGTTTTGTTTATGCCCAAAGACTATAGATAGGCATCAGTGGTACCCACATTTCTTCTATTTGAAGATAGAAGTGTGCATGCCTTTGGAGGGCTTCCTGTCTGTGGCACCAGGGTAGCCGCTGGCAACATGCTGCAGGGGTTTGTCAGTTGGCTTTATTTCCTGTGCACTGACAATCAACTCTGGGTTATCTTCGATCAAGCATCCTTTTGCGTGCCTGAAACTGTGTCAGCAGCAGCTATACTGATCATCACAGTGGACCAGAGACTATGCTACTACCTGAAGAATGAATGAATGAATGAATGAATGAATGAAAGCACTAGCCTGGGAGTCTCCCAGATAAGCAGAGTCAGAAAGGCAGCTCCCTGGGAATTTTTGCAGCAGGACACTGGGTGGGACCTTAGCTCCATCACTTGAGACTTAGGGGACTGCTGCACATAGGGAGACTGAGAGGAGGTAAGAGTGGAGACAGTGGGGCAGGCAAAGGAAAATGTTTGCCATCCCAGAAATCGTGGGGTGGGGAGAATGGCTGGAACTGGACTGGAAGGCAGAGCTAGAAAGAACAGAAATGGCCGCAGGTATGACAGTCCGAGGCAGTCCAATTTGGGCAGCAGAAGCAGCCACTGTAACGATTTCTGTGCACTGCTGAGCCTGGAGGAGAGCTAAATTCACGTAGAGTGTGAGACAAGTTCAAAGGAAAGAGCTGGATAACTAATTCAAGCCTCCAATGGAGAACCCACTGAACTGCTGAGGCAAGTGCTTATAGAAGGGAGCCAGACAGTGGTTGTAGGTCACTGTGGGTGTGGGTTGGGTGAGCGTGTGTCAGTGCACTGGGGTGTGCATGTGTGTGAGCAAGTGTGTGTGAGTATGGGTGTGAGGGTGAGAGTGTGGAGGTGCCCGTGAGGGTGTTAGCATGTGAGTGAGCAGGCACATAAGAGTGTGTGCAACTGTGTGAAGTCCGTCTTAGGTTATGCCAGTGGGTGGGTGTTTCTCCATAGCAGAAGGAGGGGGAAATTCCTGGATCATTGATATTATGGTCATGCCTCCCTTCCCTTCCCCAGAAGGTTAGATTCCATTGAGGGCTGCCTTGAACGTCTGCATTGTCCCTTCGTGGCACTTGTCACAACTGTAAGTTATCTTTTGTGATTAATTGCTGAGGGGCTGCCCCCACCCCCCACCAAGACCAGAAGTGCCTTCGTATGCCTCTGGGAATGCCTCAAGGGTAGGGTCTCATGTCACATTCACAGTCTCCCCAGGACTGAGCATAGTGTCCAGTATGTAGGAAGTACCTTGGAACTATTTGTTGCTTGAGATCCACAGGTAACAGCTGTGGTAAGGACAAAGGCTCCGCAGGTAACCTGGAGGGTAAGGACAGTGGCTCCCTTGCCGGTCCTCCTTTCACACATTTTCCATTTTCCTGTCTTTTTTATCTTCCTTGCCTAGGCTGTAGGGCCAGTATTTGCCTCCATGGTAGCCTGCTGGGATAGGTTGCCAGATTTACCAAATGAAATACAGGTATTTGGTTAAATTTGAATTTCAGATAACCGATAAATAATTTTTAGATAAAACAGATTTTATTAATATCTATCTTATATTTTTGGCATAAATATATGATAAGTATAAAACTATTGAGACCTAAATCATTTGATGTTTATCTGACATTAACTGGATGTCCTAGTTTTTAATCTGATAGCTAAAATGTTTTCCATGCTACTGATGAGGCTGACTCTGATGAAGGGAAAGCCAGTTGCAGCCCAACTCTCTGCTTCAGTATAGTTGGCCTACTTAATAATATATGCTGAGCCCTTGGTGGGTGCCTGGCCCCAAACAGCACAGAAAGAAGTGAAAGACCTCAATTACTGGCCTCAAGGAGATGAGAGACCAGATGAGAGTGTGGCTGGAGAGGTGGGTTATGGTGGGAAAGGGAAGTGACAAAGATTGTAGAACCGGCTTTGGGGCACATTATCTTAAAATGAATCTAGTCTCTTTGTCAGTGATAGCTACTCTCTGTTGACAGCACCTTGTCCCATCTTGTTAAATCCTCAGAGGAAACTACCAGGGAGGGGGCATCATCTCTGCTTCCCAGCTGGCACAGTGAGTGTGGAGATAAGTGCTTTCCAAGATGTGTGGTACAGCTGGGAAGCAGCAGAATCAGGACTGACCACATAGGTGCCTGACTGAAGCCTGGACTCTCCCAAAGCACTGCTCTGTTACTTCTTAGCCGGCCTGGTACAGAAAACTGCTCTATGGCAGGAGTCAACAGTCCCATGTGCTAATCCTAGTGAAACCTTCTTGAGCTTCGGTGATATCCATCCATCTTACTATGGTGTTGAAGATGCTATCCATCCATCTGTCTGCCTGTACTTCTGATGTCCACTCACCCACCCATTCTTTCATCCATCCATCCATCTATCCATCCATCCATCCATCTATGTCACTATTAGGTGCTGGGGAGCTGTGGTGGAAGAACAGCCCCCAGGAAATCCCCCAGCTCACCAGGAAGGTTTATATACCCTCTTGGCCCAGACCACAAGCTCTTATCAGCTCGATCACAGCTGGCAGCTTGGCCAAGACCTAAAGCTGATCAGAAACATGTGACTCTTCCTATAGTGGTCCTTATATTGTTTCTGTTCTATTCAGCCAGGAATGAACAATGTGCTAGACTATGGCCTGGACCGAGTGAGCAATCCAAATGAAGTCAAGGTAAACCAGGTATGTCTCTGCTGCATTCTGGGCAGGACCTAGGCCAGGTTCTGTGGCTAGGAAGGGAGAAGGTATCCACCTGTACATTTGTGTCTGTTGGGTCCCTAGGGGACCTCCACAGAAAGAAGCGCCATGGCTCTATGGAAATAAGGTTGGGGGAGAGGGAAGCCCATGACAAGGGTTCTGGGTAGAGAGATAACAACTGGAGAGAGGAGAGTACGCAGGGTGCAAGTCAAAGTAGATGGTATCTAGATGGTTGGTTTTCAGTCTTTCCTGCATCACTTCCTCTTTTGAAAATCTGATGAGAATTATGTAACATTCCTGCCCAAAGATGTACAGACAGACATTTTACACACACACAGAGCCAATTTCTTGACCCAGGGAAGAGTATAGGCCCCAGACTGGAAAGCTCTGAATCAACTTTGGATTTAAATCTTAATCCACATGATTAGAATATCACACTTTCATACCACGGTGGGGAGGGATCTATCAAAGATTCTCAGACACTTTTTATTTTTATTTAGTTTTGGTGGTACTGGGGATTGAACTCAGGGCTTCGTGCCTGCTAGGCAAGCACTCTATCTCTTGAGCCATACCTCTAGACCTTATTTTAAAAAGACCCTTTTCCCCAAATAGGCCACCTTTTATGGTGGATGGTCAATTTCCTATAATTTTTTTAATTTAAAAAGATGCAATTTATAAGCAATTGAAAGCATGTCATACTGACATTTTGGGCCAGACCATTCTTTGCGGGGAGGTCCTGGGCATCAGTGTGGGATGTTTAGCATCAACTCTGGCCTCTACTCACTACATGTCAGGACCTCCAGTCCTCTCCCTGATCCCCATGTCTCTAGTCTTGACAGTCAAAAATGTCTCCAAGACACTATCCAATCTACCCTGCCAGGGTTGGAAACCACCAATCCCAGTAATCCAGCCTAAAACCTGTTTAAACTTGTCTTGGATTTTTCATTGCGTTTTCCCCAATGTTGTCCTTGACCAGCAAGAAGAAGTTACCTCTTTAGTGTGTCATCTGTAAAACTTGGCAGTGGTCCAAAGCAAAAATGGAGACCTGAAAGGATGTGCCCTAAAAGGGGGATGGACAGGGAAGGGGAAGAGAAGAGAGAAAGGAGAAGGAAAAGGTGGCAAGGCAGCACTGGCATGAGTGGAGAGAATGGTGAACCACAGAGAGCATCACAGCTGGGAATGGCTGGGTCTGTTGTCCACAAGGCAGTGGCCCTTCCTGTGATACAGGCCGGTGCGTCAGCCTACCTCAGTCAGCCCTTCCTTGGTAAAGGCAGCCTTTTCCACCTTGTTTCCTTGTCAGATAACAGATCACTGCTAAGCCTCATAGGCTCGGTTGCCATGGAGACAGAATCATAGAGTAAAATACAGAGCCCGGATGGAAGGTTTCCTTTTTTTTTCATGGGTAACAGGCTGCTCTGGAAACCTCTCTTCTGTGGAGGAGGGGGAGGCAGAAAGCACATCACTCACTCTGACATGGGAGACATGAGTGTGGGGACAGAGGGGTCCCTTCTTTGACTGAGCTATATAGTGGGGGAGACTGGAGGGTGGGACTTCACCCCCAGCTGGCTGAGGAGCAGAGCTGCTCTATCCTGGGTGCTTTGGTCCTGGAGACTTCTGAGAAGGGCAGCCAATGCCATCCTCATGGAAGAAGAAACATTTTCAAGGTCCCTGGCAGTTCCAGAGGGAGGTAGCTGTGCTTCTGGCTTTCCAATTGGCATCCTGCCAGGGGCTGGCAATGCCCTGAACCCAGAGCCAGAGTACAGAGTGGGGGTGAGGTGAAGTGTAGGATCATCTTGGTGAGTTCCACATGAGCTGGGCCCCCTCTGTTCACACCTCATCTCTCTCTCTGTCTCTCTCTGCAGCTCTCTTTCTCCTGGGTGCACACTGGCTGCGTGGAGTAGTAAGAAGAAGCATGTGGTTTTTGTGTACGCAGGCCCTGGCCGTCCATCAGCCACCAGTGCCTGCCAGATCCACTGTGCAGGGAAGGGTGGGGCCTGGTCAGGGCTCTATCTGCTGCAGCATGTCCATATCTGAGGGTCCCTGCTTCCCCCTGTGTACTGCCTTGAGAGGACAGGGCCACGGAGAACATCAGGCGTTCCCATGAAGCCTTGGGAGTACAGAGGCTTTGTTTTGGTATCAGTTCCGAGAAAAACTCATAGTGCCTGAGCTGGCTTGAAGAACGAGGTCATTTCTAAGAATGAGTAAATCCTTGAAAAGATACCTGTTTTCCCTAAATGGAGGCAAAAACATGCATCAAGCATGAGGAAAGAGGTTGCTAGGTTGGTGGGTGTCCAGGTTCCTGGGTGGCCTGGTCCCTCAGGCTGGTGACCACTGGTTGGCAAGGCTGGCCAGCCCTGGGAGGACCTGGCCACATACAGGACATGTGTCCTGTCTCAGTTCTAATACCTTGGGGGCATACAGGCTGCTGAGTGTGTAGGTCCCCCCTTCCCCTTATTTCAGAGAGAATTTGGCCCTATAGTGAGGACCCCAAGTGTAGGCCGAGCCCTGGCCTGGCTGTGGGCAGAGATGTGCCCAGGGCTGGCCCTTCCTTCCCATCCTGTCCACCTCAGGGGGGCTTACACTGTGGTGTAGTGAGGAGAGCCATCATTCTGGGCTGAGGGGAGTGGCAACCTGGGAATGACCCACCTCTACCACTCCTCACCTGCATGAGCTTGGCTAAGCTCTTCAGCCATTCAGAGTCTCAGTTTCTTCATCTATAGTATGGGAGTCACAGTAGTTCATGCCTCAGAGGATTAAAGACCATTTATGCAAAGTGTCTAGAGTGCTATCTAACATGTAGAGACATTCCACAAATAGTGTCTGTTATTATTACCATACCGTCCCTATATTGTGAAGGAGATGATGTATGGGGTCCCAAAGACCTTTGACCCAACTTTTAGTGGTGGACTTAGCCAATTTCCTTTTTCTGTCCTTATGCCTCCTCATACTTCTACACAGAGTAGGGCATAAGGAAAGAGCTACACACTAATTTCAATCTCTCTGCCTCATCCAATTCTCAGCAGTGAGAACAGTACGGTTTACTCAGAGACTTTGAGTAAAAGGTAGAAATACAACTCCAGGGTATTAACTGTGCTCTGCAGAGCTCTCAGCCTGGAGCCCTCAGTGAGCAAAGCCCTCATGTGCTCCCAGCAAGAGGGGATAAACTGCTTTCTCCTTGTGGCCCTTTGTGTGATCCATGGCTTGCTGGGGAAGGGGAACCTCTAAACACTGATGTTTGCTGATGGCTTACTGAGTCCGGTACAGAGCCATGTGTTCCACACCCGGTCTCAGTTTGGAGAAGACTCGTCTCTGCTGTAGGATAAACAGAATCCCAAGAGCATCTCTGCTTCCTAGTTGAGAAGCAGACCCAGAGAGGGAGGGAACTCACCCAAGGATACACAACTCAGAAATGGTGGAGCCCAGATGGTTGAACCTCTGCCAATAGCCACCAGAGTCCACCATGTATCCTGCCTGATGGCTTCTAATACCCATTGTGTAGCTTTTCTAGAAGCTTTGCTGGCTTTTATTAAGTCTATTAAGGGAGATTATAGCAGTTTTTTGGTTTTTTTTCATATGACAAAGCTGAAACAGAGTTAGCTTTTTGCCCAAGGTGGTCCAGCCTGGATTCTAATTTAGATCTTTCAAGTTTATAGCCCAACCTCCACCCCCAGGCCTAAGTCCTGCACCCATGGTCATTAAAGGCCCCACCTCCGGTTCTTTGCACATTCCTGCCTGGCTACTTCATCCCAAGCTCCTGGCATATTCCTCCACTTACTTCCTCCCTCCTGTCTGGCAGGGGCTTCGGGCCTCTGAAGCATGGTCCTGACCTCTCTTGTCCTGTGACAATTGTCCCCAGTCTCCATCCCGGTTTCGGCCCCAGAGCTGTGTAAACAAGGCTGAATGTGTCCCTATTTGGGCAATTCTGCAAGTGAAAAATAATAAGTTGTTAGAATTCCAGGAATGCAGAGCACTCAAGGGTTCTTTAGTGTGGCAAAGGGTATCATCCCAAGGAAGAATAAGGAAGTGTGTTCCCTGCAGGAGGCCAACTTGTGAGAGAGGAAGAGATTTGTGTGTGAATTCCAGGGTGAAAAAAAAAAGTTTTGTTTCTTCCTATTTTATCATGAGGTGGTTTTCTTTGAATTGCATAGAATTGTGTGTTTTTAATAACTTCACTTTAAAATGAAGTTTCTTATGACCTTTGGCTCAGTAATAATAATATTAATAATTGGTTTGTAAAATTTAGCAAATAAAAACACAGGGTTCCCAGTTAAATTGGAATTTCAGATAAACAATCTTAACTTACTATTTTTTTAGTATAAATATGGCCCAAAGATTGCATGGGCACAATGTTTTATCTTGTTGTGAGGGCTAGTGTTACCCCATGCATTTGTGTTTTAGCAACAGTGTTAACATTCACGCTCATTGATAACCACTCTGTGCAATATGCCAGTCATCTGTATATATTATCTCTTTTAACAAATGAGTAGCTAGAGGCTCTGAGAGGTTCAATAACTGTCAAGACTTTCACCTTGGGCCCCAAAGCCCATATTCTTTCTTGAGCTGTTCCCTCTCTCACAGATCAAATTGTTTCTCCACTTTTTAGAAAACTCCAGAATCCTTTCCCTGCACTGCCCCCTTACGTGACCTCTGTATGATGTAGAGCTAACTGTGTGCCAATGTAGAGTTCACACAGACAAGTTAAGACAAATCCTATCACAGGTCGAGTCTCTCTAACCCCCAAATTCAAAATCCTTAGTCTGAAACTTTTTGGGCACTGACATGAAGCCACAAGTGGAAAAGTTCACACCAAGAAACTTTGTTTCATGTACAAAATATTTAAAATATCATATAAAATTACCTTCCTGCTATACATGAGACAGAAATGATCTCATCCCCAAGATATCTCATTTTGTATATGCAAATATTCCAAGATCTGAAATCTGGAGTACTTCTGGCCTCCAGCATTTGGGACAAGTGACACTCAGACTGTGTTAGTATGCATGCTGCAGTCTCTTTCCCAGAAGCTACCTGGTAATTCAGGGAACCATAAAACAGAGCAAACCACACCAAAGGCAGAGTCCTAAAAAGATAATAAAAGCAAATAAAGTGAATAAGATATAAAAAAATTAAAATCATGATGTCTGAGACAATGGCTCCAGGAACAAATGTGTTAGACCAAAGGAAGCGCAGGACAGGCAGAGTGGAAGTGTGTGCTCGTGGTTGTGACTTGCAGCTCCTGGTGCGACCCAGAGACCCCTAGGACAGTCAGACCCTGTTCCTTCTCTTTTTTGTCTGTCCACTGAGCCCTGAGTGTTGGCCACAGGACAATGGATGACAGCTGGAAAGTTTGATGTGGGTCCTGGGCACTTTATCTTTTGTTGTTTTGTTTTGAGACAGGGTCTTTCTATGTACCCCAGGCTGGCCTCAAACTCACAACCCTCCTGCTTCAGCCTGGCAAGTGCTGGGGTTACAGGTGTTTGCCACCATGTCTTATTTAGTCCTGGGCACTTTGAAGAAAGATGTCTATGGTAGTGACTGCTGTTACCATCATTAGTGTTAACTGAAAAGTGTTTCCTGTGTTTGGGTTTCCTGTTGTGGATGGACTCTGCTCTCTTTTTGTTTTAATTTTAAATTAAATGGATGGATGATCATTCCATTCTGCAGTGTTCTCAGCTTCAGGGGCGAGAAGGACTTGCTAAATAGAGCAGGCTAGGTGGAAAGTTAATAGGCTTCATGATTTTTCTGCTTCTTGTGGATCACTTGTCAGCTTTGCCCAGGGCAGGGCTGGGTTTGAATCATGGCTCAGACAATTTCTGATGAGAAGATGTTGAAGAAGTTACCCACAACCTCTGATGTCCTCAGCAGAACATCAGTATAATCAAATCTTCTTCCCTTATGCTTTGCAAAAGCTCAAAGAAGTGTAAACTGCTTTGCAGTATTTGCTAGGGAATTATTTTTATGCAAAGGTCTAACTTCCCTTTTGAGCAGAGAGGTCTGGATCATTAGATACTATTTTAAATAATCCACTTCAGGAAGACTCCAACAGGGGGTCTGATTATATTAGATTTGATGTAAGTCCACTCTGGCTCCAGGATCTTTTTCTACTTGAAATGCATGTCTCCTGAAACAAAGCCTAATGCTGAGATACAATGAGAACAAATAATAAGTGTGGTTGGTAAAATGTTCAGATTATTTGGGGCATGTTTTCAAATTTTTAAGTCGAAGACTTCCTATTAAGCTTAGTAAAAGTCCCCAATTTTCTAGGCCTCCAAGCACACTGAAGTCATCACTGATTCAACAAACATTATGCTAAGGGAGGTAGATGTTGTTTCCATACCCTTCATGGTGAGAGATGGAGTTAAAAAAAAGCCACATAAATAAATATATAATTAAAATTGTGATGAATGCTAAGAAGGAGGAGGCCAGGATGAGTGAGTCTGAAGTAGACAGACTACCTGAGTTTTTCTTGGGAAAAGCAATTATGTCAAAGCAACTCAGTGAAGTAAAATGAAACCAAGCATGGACATAGCATTTCAGATTGGGCCTTCCTTCATCCCTTGTTGATGGGCTCATGAAACTTTATCTTGCTAACTGGCTAAGGGAAGTGTCTTCCTCAGACTTCTGCCTATTCTGAGTGAAGATTTGTTTGGGTTTAGCAGTGTGGATAATAGTAAGGCATGGATTATGAGTTTAGTCGAAGGATTAGATTCAGCACCAAGCAACCCTTGGACACAACCAAATCTAGGAAAACTGAGACTAGAAGTACCCCTGTACACAACCATGAATCGTTGCATGGAGGAAGAAAAGTGGTGCCAAGGGAGCCTGCCCTCTCACATTGTACCAGATTTATGTATTTTAGTTGGGAACAGATCTGAATGGTTTCCAGCAGCTTCTAGGAGCCTAAGTGTGGAGCCATCCTTCTCAGCCTTAACTCAAAAGTCCAGAGAGGACACCTGGCAGCTGGTGGCGAGCTGTGTTAGGAGCTTCAACCAGGGGTTAGGGCCTGAAGCGATCTTCCCATATTGCAGCTCAACTCTGGGAGTCAGGTGGCAGTGGATGCTGTTTTTTAACTGGGTGCTTTATTTTTTTCAACTTGGCTTTTTTCCCCCCAACTTGTGATATTGTCAAGTCGTTATGAATATCTGAGAATGAGTCTCACCATTCATTCAGACTTCTCCCCTTGGAGAAAAGAAACAAATGATCAAGGTCCATGCTAGTTTATCCGTCTTTATCTTTCATTCTGTATCTTAGTGAGAGGTGAAGTTTTCCTTCTGTATCTTGCACTCTCCACATAGTGCAATCCCAGAACTTAGTCTTCAGTTCATCTCTGTTTTTAGGAGAGCAGTATGAAGTTGTAGTAGCAAATTAAACACCTTCCCCAGCCACATCTGTTGATCGATGTTACTCTTCACTGGTTGCATCAAATAGAGAGTGGAAGGATGGTGATGGGAGATTCTATCTTTTAAGTAAGATGAGATGGGTAGTTTTCTCATGGGGAAGGGTTGTTATTTTTCAAATGGATACTTAGATTGTAATGATTTAGTGACATTAATGGCTTTGCTTCTTTGTTTTACAGAAGCAAACAATCACTGCCATCAGAAAAGAGGTAATTAGCTTCCAGTTTCAGTGGAGTTTGATTTAAAGTCCTCTAACAAATTATATGTATTTTGGCTTTGTGCTCTGCACTGAGCAATGAGATTAAAAGCCCATGTAATGTTCAAACAGTTGTTACAAAATTAATGTACAGCACAGAATGACAATGACTCTTTTGTGAGATCTGAATGGGCTGATGGCCAGGTGCAAGATGTAACACATCCTTTGAGTCACACCTCAGAGGGAAGGCCGGAACTGTGGGAGGGGTGCTGCTGAGTGTCCATGTCCCCAGCCTGGCACTGCTCTTGCCTCTATGGGGCCATTCAGGTTGGCAAACTGTCTATTTTGGCAAATCTTCTATCCAGAGCCCAAGATGGAGCCCTGGGAAGCATTGGCCATTGAGGTGGGATATAGTAGTGCTTGACAGAACAGAGAAGAGGGCAGTGGAAGAGGTGGATGGCTTGCTCCTGCAGAAGCTGTGGAATCAGAATGAGGATGTCCCCCGTGGCGGGGAGCACTCTCTTTCTCTCACACAGAGACATATGAGGGAAAAGCCAAGCCTCTGTCCCCTGTCTCAGCTTAATGGTCCTTAGGACAGTTTTTTTTACCCTCAAACTGGTGCCTTTTCTCAGATATATGATGGGTTAATGAGATCTCTAACTTAGAATTTGGGGTCACCTACCTACTGGGTCTGCACTTTCTTGGTACTGAGGTGACTGGCTTGAGGGAATGGATGGGTGTTTGTTACAGACAGATGGCTTCTGGTTTAATGTCAGTGTTCGTGACACTCAAGGGTGAGGAGGTAGACATCTAACAACTGTCTCTCTTTCAGATTATGTATTACCAACAGGCCTTAATGAGATCCACAGTGAAGTCTTCGGTGTCCCTTGGAGGGTAGGTCTCTGATTTGTTGATCTTGTTAGACTTTGAGCAATACCCAGGCAAGAGGAGAACTTGGTGCTTTAGGGAAAACTTGACAAGTCATGGACTGACTTGACTTATGATTCTAAAGGACTGTGAAGCAATCCCCCAGTCTTTTAGGGGTTTAGTTTCTATTTCTTCACTCACAATAAGTCTCCAGGTTTTGTCTTGAGTTGGGCAAAATCGAGGGTGGGCAAGGTTCTATAAAAGTCTGCCATGTTCCTTGAAATCCACAAATGTAGGGGAAGTTGCAAGTCCATGGACTATGGGATCTAAGGCAGCCTGCACTCCATCATCATTCACTCAGATTGTTAGGGATATGTGGGTTGGGTTTCTTGAATCAACGTGCTGCTGAATGTCCACTGCTAATCTTTGATTTAAAATCCAATTTGGATATATTGGAAATTTATGTTTGATTTATTGAGCTTTCAGGCTTCCTGGTCCAGTTCCCCGTTATCTGGGAGATACAAGAAGGATTAATTGCTTCCCAATTATCCTTTCGAAATGTGGAATTAATTTAGGAACACCTTGCTAACTCTAAGATTTTCCTGTATGACATGGAAATAAACTTGGCTTACTTCTGTGATCATTCACTCTGATTACGTAGGACTGGAACAGTGGTACTGGGTACCATTGGAAGTGAAGAGGCTGCGTTTCGTCCAGTGCCTTCCTTCTAGTATGATGAAGGGTACAGCTCTTGTAAAAAATCTTCAAAAACCTTTTACATCTTCCTGAATTCATAGTTTGAAAAAATGTCACCTCCCCTGTGAAAATGTCCATGGCTGGGGGAAGACTTCATGGCAAGTGCCTTGTATCCACACTGGGGACACCCTTCCTCACCTATGGATGCAGGATTTTCCCCCAGTCAGACATCAAGAAATATGTTAACTCAGAAAGTCTGACTTAATGTGGGGGAATTTGCATCTGTCAAAAAGAGTAGGTTTAGGGTTTACACCTCAATTAGGACACAGGTTTTGAATAATGGGCCTAAGCTCCTAAACCTAGGTATTATCATGACAGAGTGGAACCCAACAATGGCAGCAGTCTCAGCAAGTCTGTGGCACCTCGGCCTTCCAAGACGGGAACCAAGACACAGGCAAATTGAGTCAGCTTTGAATTTTCAAAATATCCTGGTAAGAATGTGAAGAGGCCATATTTTAATGAACTAGAGCTGGAGAATTGAAAAATGGCTACATTGGGAGAAAACCCTGTTTCACAAATAAAACAGGACAGAAATTGCCAAATTCCTACCAATTAGAACACTTTTCTAAGTGCTATGAGAAAACTTTATGAGGGTTATTAGAACACTTTTCTAAGAAGATAGTGATAAATAGAAACAGATACAGAGGACAGCTGGTCAATCAAAGTGCACATTGACTTAGTCTCTTGGTGTTGAGCTTTGAGGAAACTGTTTTCTCACTTGCTTTTCAGGATCGTCAAATACAGTGAGCAGTTCTCATCCAACGATGCCATCATGTCAGGCTGCCTGCCCAGTAATCCTTGGATAACAGATGATACCCAGTTCTGGGATTTAAATGCCAAATTGTATGTATTTGATGTGTTGAGATTTTTTTTAATTTGCTTTTTGAGTTGTAATTTACATGCCATACAAACTTACCCATTTTATGATATGCAATCCAAGGGTTGTGGGTATAGCCCAGTGGTGGAGCACATGCTTAAGGTGCATGAGGTCCTGGGTGCAATCCCCAGCAACAAAAAAAAAAAAAAAAAAAAAAAAGGAGCTATATGATATGCAATCCAGTGGTTTTTAGTATACTCACAGCATCGTAAGTCATTGCTACAATTGATTTTAAAATATTTTCATCACCCTGAAAAGAAACCCTTTTATTTTCTTTTGGTGGTACTGGGGTTTGAACTCAGGGCTTCAACACTTGCTAGGCAGGTGCTCTACCACTGAGCCACTCCGCCAGCCCACCAAAAGAAGTCTTGTACCCTTATCTATCACCCCCCCAAGCTTCCATTTCCCCATACCCCTTTAGTCCCATATACCCACTAATCATTCTGTTTTCTGGCTCTATGGATTTGTCTATTCAGGGCCCTTCCTAGAAATGGAATCATATAATAGGTGTGACTTTTTGTCATTAGTTTTCCTCACTTACAATACTTTCAAGGTTTATCCATGCCGTGGCATGTTTTGGCACTTGGTTTCTGTTTATCCCTGAGTAATAATCACTGTATGGATAGTCTACATGTTTACCTGTTCATCTGTTGATGGACACTGGGTTCTTTCTGCCTCTAAGCTCTTATGAATAATGGTCTGTGAACATTCATGTACTATGGTGAAGGGGCAGCCACAGTGGGTGCCAGGTGCCTCACTGGTGGCTGTGACCATCACATCCATCACTAATGCTGTTCTAGAGTTCTCTCTTGGCCTGGAGTGGCAGCTTGGCCCTCCCCTGCATGGTCTCCAGGCTGTTACCAGGCTTTGGAAGAGGACTTCTCAGTTATTTTTCCTGGTGACTGTGGGAACAGGGCCTGAGGGTGCAGCTCCCACGGTGGCATCCTCCTCGCCTCTGGGAGGCCACCCCTGGATGTGAGCCCAGGGGACTTACCTGAGGCTGCGACTTCCTAGCCAGTGATGGCTTGGGTTCTGTGTTTATGCAGGGATTGGGGGAGGAGGAGAAGAAGGGGTGGAGCCCCAGGCTGTGGGGCTAATGGAGGTCTGTGAGCAGCTCACACCCAACCAGGCCACCTCCTGGCAAAGCTCTTTCCTTGCATGGAGAGTTACATTTATGAATCATCATCCTCACAGGGTGGAAATCCCAACCAAGATGCGGGTGGAGAGGTGGGCCTTCAACTTCAGTGAACTGATTCGAGACCCCAAGGGTCGACAGAGCTTCCAGTACTTTCTCAAGAAGGAATTCAGTGGTGGGTCTTTTTTTTTTTTTTTCTTAAATAAAACCTTTTTACTTTGAGTAACATTCCTTTAATTTCTGGCCTCGAGCTTTAGGAATTTCTTAGTGGAAGTTTCCATGGCTTTAGTAATGCTTGTAAACAGGGCTTCAACCTTTTACAGCTTTAATTGCTGTACCTGGGTCCAGGACCTGTTCTCTCCATTAGCTCAGAGGCCCCACAGCCCAGGGAGAAGGTTGCATTTCCATTAGTATCGCGGTTTCTGGGCTCCATCCTTGCTTGGCCACTCTCACTGTTACTCAAGAGTTCTCTTGCCCCACCCCAGCCTCTAAGTGCAGCTTTTCAAGGAAATTGAGTGGCAAGGACGCGAAATAAGCAAGTTCTTGCTGCCTCCCAGCCTAGCTTTCTTTAGTGCAGGGGTTCTGCAGATTTCATTCACCTGGGGATATTTAAAGGATATGTTTGCCTGGGTCCTTTCCCCACTTTGGGTTGGAACGGCTGAGGTTTAAAAAGTTTCCCCATGTGGTTCTAATGTGTGATCGACTGTGAAGCCCTGCCTTTGGCTCCTGGTCTCATTTCTTCAGGGCCTTCGGTATGTGTGGGTTTTCATGGGAGGGGGCGGGGCCGTCTCATCACAGTGGGAACTTGAGACTTCCTAAATATACCACACTGAGAAACATCCAGAGAAATCAAGAGGTCAGAATAGAACCAGTTTCACTAGGCTGAACATTCAATTGGTTTCACCACCTTTGCTGAAATGATTTTCATGGAATTGATTTGCTTGCTTACAGTCCCCAAGCCCTGGGAAATGTGGTGTTTGGGCTTTGAAATTCAGCTGCTTACTGCAAAACCTATTTGTCTATGGGGTTGTCTTGAAACAAATCCTTTGTTCTGGTTGACTCCTGATGCAGAGTATTACATTATAACATAGATTGTTAAAGTCTTTCTCTCTAATCAGGCCTAATTGTCATAATACAATAAACCTCAGAAAAGATGGATGGAAAAAAGCAAGCTCTTAAGGTTGGGCTGCGAGTAAGTGGAAATGGTGTCACCTAGTGGCATAGAGATGAACTACACCCGAGCTTATCCAACCTACCCATTCCTTAGTAGTTGATTTCTTGGTATTATTAAAATCATATTATTGCCAATGTCCTCATGAGATTCCTGAGGATTCATGTATGTGTGAACAGGGCAGATAAATCATCTACTTTCTCATTTAATTAAAAAAACTTAAATTGAGATATGATCCACTTAACATAAAATGCACTCTTTTATAGTGGCCAGTGAGTTTTTTTTTTTTTTTTTAATTTTTTGAAACAGGATCTTTCTTGTAATACAGGTGGGCCTCAAACTCGTGATTCTCCTACCTCAGCCTCCCAAATGCTGGGTTTATAGGCATGCACCACCACGCCCTTTTTAAATGTACAATTCAGTGGGTTAGTATTTTTGGCTGGCTTTGAACTCATGATCCTCCTTCTTCAGCCTCCTGAGTGCTGGAATTTCAGGTGTGTAACACCATGCTTGGTTTGATTCAGTGGGTTTTAGTTTTTCACTAAGTTGTACGATGATTAACACTAATTCCAGACAATTTCAAAAGAAACCTCTTATCCATCAGAAGTTTTTCCTATTCCTCCCTATTCCCACTTGTGTCCCACTGTGCTCTCCCCTACCCCAGTCCTAGGCAGTCATGAATCTACTTACAACCTATATGGATTTGCCTGTTCTGGGTATATTTCTTACCAGTGGGATCATACAGTATATAACATTTTCATTTTAGCATAATATTTCCAATGTTTGTCCATGTGTAACGTGTAACAGAGCTTTGTTCCTTTTTATGGCTGCAATATATTCCATTGGATAAATATGCCACTTTCCTTTACCCATTTGTCAGGTAACTAATGGGCATTTGAGTTGTTTTGACTCTTGGCTATTATGAATAATGTTTTTATGAACGTTAGGGCTTAGTCTTTTACATGCTTAGTCTTTTCGGTAGTAAAAATACATAACACAAATTTTACCACTTTAACCATTTTTAGGGTACAATTCAGTGATAATAAGTATACTCACTTTGCTGTGTGACCATCACTACCATTCATCCCCAGAACTTTCCCCACCAAACACTAACTTCCTGCTCCCCAGCCCTGGTAAGAGCCATCTCACTTTCTGTCTCTATGAATTTGACTATCTTAGGTACCTTGTATGAATAGAACTTAGCATAAAGTCCTCAAGAAAGTCCCTGCCTTTTAAGACTGAGTAATATTCCATGGCATGTGTATAGCATATTTTGCTTATCCGTGGACATTTTGAGCCAATTGCACTTTTTGGCTATTGTGACTAATTGCTCATTTAACTTTAACCCTAAGCAGTCAATGTCTTTTGCTGTGAGCAAGATGGTCCACATTGCACTTCATGTCAGATCAGTTGACCATCAGTTAAGAGTAGCATTGGCTGGTGATCTTGGTCCAAAGAACACTCCGAAGTTCACACTGAAGGGAAAGGACCTCTGTAAGGGTTGTGTGACAAAAGGCGACTGGTATAGAATTGTGCAGCCTTTTTCAACCTGAAATAGCTTGGAGCTTTAAAACTAATGAGAAAGGAGAGAAGGGAATTCTCTTGTCCATTTCCCTGCACCACACACATGCACATGAACACACACACACATACATGCTCACACACACACGCACACGCACATACACAGGCTCTCGCTCTCCTGTTGGTGTGATCCTCTTAATTTTCCCAGGTGAAACTTGCTGCCTGGGATCACTGCACCAACATATTGCCAATGCTTGGAGAGAGGGGTCTGGCTTTTCTTCTGCACCCAGAGAAGCAGAGTCCCTCTGGCTCTGGTCATGCTTAGTTAAGTGCCCTTTGTGGTCAGGCCTTCCCCGAGCATCAGTCATCAGTATCACACTTGAGCAATGCAAGGACCTTTGGGCTGGAAGATGGCCTGCGAGAGAGGGTACAGAAGGTGAGGTCTCCCACAGTCAAACTAAGGAGGCAGATGTCATGCAGCCAGGAACAGAAGCAGAGTAAACAGGGGCTTTTATGAAGAAGGCCTATACTGTGGTCATACAAGCCTAGGAGCCTTATTATACACAAACTTGTTCAGGAAATATTTGATACAAATTCTAGGGAACCTAGAATTTGCCACCTAGAGAATGTGGCAACTTCTGCAGGGTTATTACCCTGCTCTGACCTGTATATCACCAGAAGAAAGAATAGCGCCCACCGTGTGAATGTTTTGCCCCAAGTGTGGTAGGTGCTGATCCAGTGTATTCCCAAGCACACTTGCAATTTGAGTCATTGCTGGGTTTCAGCTGTCTTCCCAAGCCTTCAGAATGAGACATAGCTCGTTCTCTAAAGGAGCGTGTAGTCTGATGTCACAATACACGGTGACTTGTTTTGCAGGGAAGATGCTCACCAAATTTCAGTACTGAATCCATCCCAGCTGACTTCTTTCTTCTGTTTCCTCTTTTCTTCTCTTCACCTTGCTTCCTGTCTGGCTTTTGTCTGCGTGGACTCTATGCAGGGGAGAATCTGGGATTCTGGGAAGCCTGTGAGGATCTGAAGTATGGAGATCAATCCAAGGTCAAGGAGAAAGCGGAGGAGATTTACAAGTGAGGATTAGCCAGTTTGTGGAGGAAGCTTCTGTGGTATTGGGATGGAATGGGAGGTCCCATGCCATGTGGCAGAGTGCCTTGGTCACTGTCCTTACTGTGCTGTGCTGTAAATTCTTTCCCTGTTGTTCTGAAAAAAGTCTGTTGCAATGGACAATGAGATTCTTCTGTTCTTGTGGGAACATGTTTAGTGGTTACAAAAGCAAGCTGCTCTGAATTACAGCACAAAATTTTTTGGCTAACCCTCCTTAGGTCATTTGTGTACATGTGTGTCTTTGTGTGTGTGTGTGTGTGTGTGTGTGTCAGAGAGTGAGAGAGAGAGAGAGAAGGTAAAATGGGGAGAACCTACTTCATGAGCCATCTTAAAGACTTCAGGATGATAAGGAGAAGAGACATTCTCCCATGTGTCTGGGACAGTGATCCCAGCTTGGGGTACAAGTGTAGACACATCTCTCATTTCTCACTTCATGACTCTCACCCCCACCCACTCAGCACAGCAGTAAACTTGTTCCTCTCCAGGCCCATCCTCCTTCCAAATCACCCAAGAGTCAATCTCTTGGGTCAGACCTGCCTCTGAAGGCCAGGTGGAGAGGAGGGGAAGTTGCTGAGAGCCATACTCCCCACCTCAGCCCTGCTCCCCCAACCTGGTGGTGCTCTTCCCTGCTGTGGTCCCATCCCTGCTGGTCCTTCTGTCTGTTGCAGTGGAAATCTACCTAGGACTCCAAGGTTCTGGTGTCTCTAGTTCCTACTCACACGCTATGCTGTGACCAGGCACCATATGGGCAGGAATGAGCCCTGGCAGCTACAGCTTTCTGGGATGCTGAGCCGTGGGTAGCAGTAGGCCGTTCCCTTCTGAGGACCCAGGCTTTGCTCCTTTGGTGCCCTTCCTTCACACTGACTCAGGTTGGACTATCCGGATTTTCAGAGAGCCTTGAACAACATTGATAAATAGAGCTGAGGACTCGTGCCTCCTACTTGGAGACGCCTTTGCTCTCTTGCAGGTTCTCTCATCTCCTCTTACAGAGATGTACTCTGTGCCCCAAGAGAAGCTGGGATGGCTGGGATGGGACAGACAGGACTGTAGTTCCAGGAAATTCCCATGACACCCTTCCCCAGATGCTGTCTGCTCCCTTACAACATCCAGACAACAACTAATGCTCCCAATCTGCTGTCCCCACAGGAATATCAGCCTCTTGCCCCCCAAGTGCCCCACTTATGGAAGCCTCTGTTTGAATTTCCAGATCTAAATGTGTATCTAGGAGAGCAGGGGAATTATCCAGGTCTCTAATCAGCAACCACTCAGAACTGGAAGCACTGGGAAAACTCTTCACCCTCAAACCCTTAGTCCTCAAGCACAGGACTCTGGAATTATGGCTGACTCTGGAGCCTTTAGTCTTTGCACCCAGGTGGTCACACCTGGAGGATTATGGGCTCCTCCCAACTCAACATTGAAGATTCATCACCAAACCCATCTAGACAGGGCCACAGGAGAGCAGAGGCCCCCAGAACAGCCATTTGGAGGTGTCTTAGCCTGGTTTCAGGTTGGCCCTGAAATCCAGGTTAGGAGGAAGAAGTGATTGAAGGTAGATTTTTCACTCTTGTAGCTAAGGCCTTCTTCACCTGGGTTCCTCCCATCTTCTTTTGGCTCTCTCTCCTAGAGGTTGGAACATCAAAGTTAAATTCTCCATTGCCAATGCCGTTTTTGACCATTTTCTTGTTTCCAGGAAAGGTGGTTTAATGACCCCTTGGAAGTTCAAACTTTTTGTGCTTCCTAACAAACCTGGAACCTGTTGTGTCAGTCCTGCCCCCCCCCCACCTGTGCACTTGGGTTAGCTACTTTTGCAAGCATTTCCCTGCCTCCCTTCCTCCCCAGGCTGTTCCTGGCCCCAGGTGCAAGGCGGTGGATCAACATTGATGGGAAAACCATGGATATCACCGTGAAGGGGCTGAGGCACCCCCACCGCTATGTGCTGGATGCAGCGCAGACTCACATTTACATGCTCATGAAGAAGGTAGGCTGGGTCTGTGCCGAGGATGCTCAGGGGCCAGGGAGAAAAGGGAGACCACATGTGGACACTGCTTTGCCAGTGGTGGGATGCAGAATTGGCCAGTTGTCTACTGGACTGGACCCTCCTTGAGCTCCATGCCAATGGGCTGTAGAGGGCACCTGTAGAAGCCACCTGCACCTTGTGAGCCCCTTACTCTGAAGTAACGTCAACAGGCAGTGTTAATGGCATTACTAATTGTGGTATTAAGATAATAGCTTATTATCTATTAATAAGCTTATTATCTATTAATAAACTATTGTGAGCCTGCTATTTGTTGCAGGCTCACAAGGTGCATTCACTGTGCAAAGCACAAAACTTTGTTCTCAAAGAGAATTCACAAGAACCCCTTGTTTCTCTGGAGTCTAGGGCTTGCCCGAGCTCTCAGCAATGATAAGGTGGTGTTCTAACTCCTGGTCTAACAGAGTCCAAAGGCTCAGCTCTTGGCTGTGCTATGATGGTGACAATGCTCATGGCCCTGAAAAGATGTAACATGTGGAGAGTTTAGTGACAAATTAGGTGATTGCAATAAAACCCTATGAGAATTCAGACAGCCTTCTGGATTATTATGGTGAATATGGTATGAACACTCAAGGAATTGTTAAAAATAAAACAAATGGTGGCTCAAGTGGTAGAGCATCTGCCTAGCAAGTGCAAAGCCCTGAGTTCAACCCCTAGTACTACCAAAAAATAAAAAAATGAAAAATAATTAAAAATGGAACCTGGGAGAATAATCAGTTACTTTCTTAAGGTGCTTCAACTTCTCATTTTGGCAGTTACTCCTTTTATGGGAAAGCATTTTCATAAGCAGTGATATAGATTGGTGTGACTAGTAAAGGTTTAGCTTCCCTTCTTTGTGGGTTTTTGTTTTGTTTTTTTCTATCTAGGATCATTAGCACTTTCAGCAAGCTACCCTGGCTATTTCTCACCGTTCTTTCCATCAGTGGGGTTTCCCTGTGGGTTTCTTACTAGAAGATCCACAACAAGGTTTCCTTAATAATAGTCCTTCTAAGTGTATTTTAAAATATTTTGATTCTTAAAAATGTAGTTTTCATACAGCCTTTCAGCAGCCACCCAGGGAGACAGGTTACTAGCCAGAATGGAACAAAGTCATGGGTAATTTATGAAAAACAGGATGTATGTGCTTATTAGACTTCATGTCCTTACAGCCATATCCTATGGTGACAAGCTCACATGACTCAATGGCTCTATTATCCCTACTCCCAGACTCCATCCCAGTTCTCATAAATGGTACTGCTACCACTTAGGCTTTAGAATCTGGCTGTTTTCAGAAACCTTTAAGACTTCTGAGTCCCTGGGTTGCCATAATGGACCTTGACTATATTTGTTATGACTGGAGTTCTCAGCTGGCCTAGAAGTAGCAAGTAACTTCTCTGAAACACCCAGGACCCCAGGAAACATTCTCACTGGAGGGTTCTGCACCTTGGTCTTTTTTTCTTTTTTTCCTTGTTACTCTTGCCTTTATACCCAAAACACAGGACAGAAAGCGGGGTAGTAGGCTTTGAAGTGGGCTCCATATTCATGGTTACTCACTTTTCCTTGGAAGAAGGTACTGGGTTGGAAGAAGTCAATGTCCTCTTATCTCTTGTGGACTTACCACATGGTGCACAACTCTGAGGATTTTAGTGTGGGGTTATAGACTGTGTTTCTAAACCTGAAAACGTGTGTTTCCAATGAGTTCCTGGGTGAAATTGATGCTGCTGGTCCACACCTGGGAACTGCTGCTCTCCACACCTCCCTTAGCACCTTTCATGCAAGGAGAGAGATTCCCTCAACTGTCATTCACGCCAAGGGAGGGCTTGACAATGGCAAGCATATTCATTCAACTTGACAGCCCCCTCTCACAATCACTGTTTTTCTCTCATTCCTGCCAGGATTCTTATGCTCGCTATTTAAAATCTCCAATCTATAAGGAAATGCTGGCCAAAGCCATTGAACCTCAGGAAACCACCAAGAGAAGGCAAGTGGAGTTGTCTATAATTGCTGGCTGCCTGCTGTTTAGTTTACAGAGAAGTAAGGGTCTCTTTCAGCCAAATGGCTGTTATTGAGATATCTACTTGATGGCTTTATTGGGGACTGGGAAGTACTGCTCAGTAGGGCCTCATTTACTTCACAATGCACTGAAATCACTCTAGCAAGATTTCCTTAGTAATTACCTCCAGTAAGTTTTGTTTCCTTAATGCTGGTTCCAAAGAGTTTTGATTATCAGAACAATAATTATCCTGATGTTATCACAAATGGAAACATCTCATTGGTTTTTTGAATTGCTACACTTCTCTGCCTCCAAATTGATGAATGTGAATTAATTTAGCTACATCCTTGTATCTGCTTTGTTCCAAGACCTTAGAGAGAATAGCACTCCAAGTGCTGGGGGTAACAAGTAACATTAACACCTCAAGTGTTCTTGCTGTCCCCAAGGAGCTACTTTTCAGAAGTCCATTAACTGGTTCATTCTCACTTTTCTTGTTGGAATGTGGATTATCTTATCTTGTAGAGCCACTGAGATATTGGATTGCCATAATGTTCTGAGAGACACATTGGAGTCTTGTTTGGCTAAAATAAACTCTACAGGGCTTGAAGATTCAAAAGAGTAATCAAATGACAGCTTGGACAAAGTCGTGGGACTCCTGTGTCCTGTCTCCCCATTGCTAGTAAATGCTGGGCTCTTTTCCAGTATTTTCATTCAATTCACAAAGGGGAGGCAGTTGGTCCAGATCTTTTATCAAAGGAGCTTAAGAAAGAAGACCCCAACTTGGTCTCATTCTTGAGGATAAAGGCCCTGTTATGGCCAGGAGAGAAAGGAGGCCTTTGTGGTGCCATTTTAGGTTGACCAAGTAAAGAAGGGAGTTGAGAGGATCTTGGAAGCTTCTTCTTTAGGTCATAAGAAATGACCATAATAGCACCAGAAGTTCTGCCAGAAAGTAACGGAGGTAGTAGGGACACTGTCTCATACTCTCACCAAATATTTTATAAGTTGGGGACAGACATGAGAATTCAGTTGGAGTTTTTCTTGGGCATAGCTGGGGCTTCCAGTGCCCTGGGTAGCAGAGACTTCTGATGGAGTGCTTGACTTGGAGTGGGGCATTGCAGACTGGAAATGCTGTCATCTGATTGTGAGTGGGACCCACATGTGAATGCTTCTAACATGAAACTGGGCCTGTATCCAGGCAGGGATTGTGGTGAGTGTGAATTTGCTCCCTGTGTTGCAGGGGTAAGACAATATATTAAAACTTAATTTTTCTTTTTTTTTATTATTGTGCTGGGTGGGGGTACATTGTGGCATTTACAGAAGTTCTTACAATATATCAGATATATCATAGTTGAATTCACCCCCTCCATCATTCTCCTTTATCCATCCCCTTCCCCCATTCCAGGATTAGTTACAGCAGGTATCATTTTCCATTTATGTGCATTTGTGCACACTATTTGCACTATTGTCATCCTCCTTCATCCTTTCTCCTCCTCTTCTCTCCTCCCACTGGTACCAACCCCCCAGAATGGACCTGTTTTGCCCTCCTATTCTCCAATTATGTAAAAGAAAAATAAAATGACATTTTTGTTTGTTTAAGATGGCTAGACAGGGAGTCTCCTTGTGACACTTCCATGTATATATGTACTATAACCCAAATTGGTTCATCTCCTCTATTTTCCTTCTTTCTACCTTAGTCTCCTTCTTATGGTGGTTTCAGCAGGTTTAAAAATTCTATATTCATTCTTGTTTAGAGAGTACATTAACCATATTCACCTTCTTAACTTCCTTCTTTTACCCTCCCTCTCTCGTATGTGACCTCCCCTTGGCATGACCTATTTTTCATAATATTGCTGTATTTGTATTAGGTCTATTTTCTACATATGAGAGAAAGCATGCAGACGTTTCCTTCTGAATCTGGCTAACTTAAGATGATGTTTTCCAGTCCCATCCATTTACCTGCAAGTGACAAAATTTCATTCTTCTCTGTGGCTGAATAAAATTCCTTTGTATATAAATACCACATTTTCTTAATCCATTCATCAGTAAGTGGGGCATCTTGGCTGTTTCCATAACTTGGCTATTGTGAACAGCGCTGCAATAAACATGGATGTGCAGGTGCCTTTATTATAACCTGACTTACATTCCTTTGAGTATATCCCAAGGGGTGGAATTGCTGGATCATATGGCAGTTCTATTTTTAGTTTTTGAGGAGCCTCCATACTGTTTTCCACAGTGGTTGTACTAATTTTACATTCCCACCAGCAGTGTATGAGGGTTCCTTTCTCCCCACATCCTCACCAACATTTGTTCTTTATGGTAGTTATTCTAATAGGAGTGAGGTGGAATCCTAATGTGGTTTTGATTTACATTTCCTTTATGAGCATTTCTTCATGTATAAAACTTAATTTTTCTAGGACAAGTTAAACCTAAGCTCCATCCAAGCCTCCCCCTTGGCCAGGCTGTTGAAACACCCAATATCAGGTCTCACTTCTTGGTAGAGGAGCTCTCTGCCTTTTTAGTGTAGATATTAGGGTTCTACCAGTTTATGCAGTCCCAAAATTTGGGGTCCTGAGTCTTCAGCCTATCATTGCTGCTGAAAAATTTGTGTCCTAAGCCCATGTGGACCTCCTAAGGCAGGTATCTCAGCTGCTGTACCTCCCTTCATCCCTTAGCCACCTATAGCCTGGACCTGACTCCTAGCATGTGATGCAGAGTTTGGTCCAGGAATCCATGTTTGGCTTCTGTAGAAGGTTCTGACCCATCCTAAGATCTTGTGTAAGCAGGTCACTACCAACCCATCACTCCTCTGCAGATTCTTCCTGCTATGTCTGGTATGGGGGCCTAGCCCTCTTGGGCAGTCCAGTTCTTTCTTTCCTTCTCAGAGCCTTGGCTTGTGAAGATAAATGCTGCACGCTCTATAAGGCTGGAACTCTTGGATTTCCATTATCCAAGTCCACTTTGTCCCCTACTTTCATGAAAATCTTACAGGATATCAAGATAACAAACTGATTTCTAAACATTGTAGAAAGGATGTCTGTCGTGTTCACCATCCAAAAGTCTCCCATGTGCCTGATGGCAGTTGTACTCACTCTGGTCCCATTCTCCAAGGGGGCAGAAAAGAGCTAAAGTTAAGCATGTCACTGAGGACTTTCTTTGAGGTTCACTTGGGAAATGAGGGAACAAATCCAGATAATGGCCTTCTAGTCCCAACTCCTACCAGGTGTAATGGTGTCAAGGAGCAAGCAGTATGGTTTTCCATTAGCCAATCCGTCTTTCCTTTCAGCTCGAGCCTCCCATTCATGCGGCGTCACTTACGCTCCAGCCCGAGTCCTGTCATCCTGAGACAGCTGGAAGAAGAAGCTAAAGCTCGAGAAGCAGCCAACACCGTGGACATCACCCAGGTCATGAGCAAGCTGGACCGTAGGAGCCAACTCAAAAAGGAGCTGCCTCCTAAATGAATCTGTGATTCTAGAAGGGGTGGGGACAGCATACCCTTGGGAGAGGCGAACAAAAGAAGGTAGGGTCTAGAAGATTCCATTCCCAATTACTAGGTTAGTAGAGTCAAGACATATTTCCCATATTCCTCTAATGTTCTTCATGGTGGACTTCCCAATACTAGAGCCACTGGAGCTTGTTCTCCCACTCCAGTTCACCAAGGGGCAGGGTTGGTGTTGGTAGGGAGGGTCACCTGACCTAGTTGCTGTGTGCTCCCTGTCTTACCTTAGGGATTTCTTGTAGGGAAAACAGCTGCTTTGTGCATACTGTTAGCTTTGGAGAATCACAGAGAAAGCTTTTCCTCACCCCCAAAGCATAGTTCTTCCAGAGACATTTGTCTAAAACAGGTTTAGGAAGCTCCTTATCCCATCTTTCCAATTTAGATTCTACCTCTAAAGTAATCTGAAATCCTTCCAAGGACTGGTTGTAGGACTCCCTTGTGGAAATAATTCTTTAGGCTCCTGTGTTATACCTGTGTGGAAGTGCCCCACTTGGACACTTCTGCTGAGCTTGTTCTTAGCCACAACTACCGGAGGCATAGCAGGCTCTGTTCTTCCTGTCTCCCCATTCACTTGTAAATACTGTGGGAATAAGCAGCTTGCAGGAATGAAGGACTCTGGCCAGAACAGTCAAGGAGAAATCACCCTCTGAGGGGCATTTGTTTTTTTGTTTATTTTTTAAGTTTTTTAGCAGTACTGGGGGTTTGAATTCAGGGCCTCACACTTGCTAGACAGGCTTGAGCCATTCCAATAGCACTCTGAGGGGCATCTTTTTGACCAAGGAATGACACTGATGTCTTCATTCCTGGGAAAAACGATAGTGAACATCTATGGCATTTTTTAGATGAGTCACAATCCAATATAATACTTTTTAGGATATTTTCTAGATGTTGGTGCTTCCCTCTTCTACAGTTGTAGGCTAAGCCAGCTCTGTAGTCAGGAGTGGAGGGAGAGGACAGCTCATACATTGTGAGGCTTCAAAGGTTATTCTTGAAGTTAGGCTAACCCCATATACTTGTATGAAAAAGAGAGAAGAAGATGAACAAGACACAGCCTTATAAAGCAGGAATATTCATTTATTCAACACTTTTATTAAGCACCTATTATGTGCAAGACATTAGGGAACAAATAAAGACATTGTTCTTCTTTCATGGAATTTGTAGTCTAGGACTGACAAAAATAACTAAACTACCAGGTAACTGTTACTGGAAAACACTGAGGCACAAACTAGAGTGGCCTGCCGCAGTAAGTGTTTATTGTTAATGTGCATGGAGTCCTCTGTGGCTTTGCTGATCTTGGCTGGGTTCACTCACACATCTGGAGGTTTGTCTGCAGAGGCTTACCTTGGATGAATGGGATGAGTCTGCTGTGTGTCACGTCTTTTATCTTCTAACAGCCTGGCCTACGCGTGATCCCATGGAGATGGCAGAATTGCAAGGGAGCCAGTAGAAATACATAAGGTTTTACATGGTCTCTTCCACCTCATTTTATTGTCCAAAGCAAGCAATAAAAACAGCCTTCATTCAAGAGGTGGGAAATAGATTCTACCTTTTTAGTGAAAATATGTCAGAGTCTCATAACCAAAAACATAACAGATACAGGAAAGGGTATGGAATGGAGTCATCATTGTAATCAATAACACAAACAAAAATATGATAAGGCCTGTTGAATGCTCTAAAGGAAATAGATATGGAGTCATGAGAGGGAAATGAGTGGTCGGTCGGCTATGCTTCTTTGAAGCAGTGAAAGAGAACCAGGGGAAAAGAACGAGTTGGCCACAGAATGTGGGCCACATAGGGAGAATGCCCCCAGGAAGAGTAGGGCAAAGTCGCAGAGAAATGGCTCAGAGTGAACTGAAAGCCACGTGGATAGAGCCTGGTGGGTGAGGAGGAAATGGTGTGAGGTGAGTCAGGTAGGCGGGGCAGGTCACTGATGACCTCTTAGGCCAGTATAAGGAGTTTGGGTCATTTGTTTCAAGTTAACAAGATGATACCAACCCCAAAGAGGGGATCTTTTGCTGCCCTTCATGGGTCACAGACTAGTTTATTCCCTGAAAGGGCACACTTCTTTTGGAAGAACATTGGAGTCTCCCAGCTTTGGCGGTACCCCCAGCAGAAATTTCAGGAATGAACCATTAGAAATTGAGTGCTGTGAGGGGAGGGGCCATATTTACTCACTTACCACTTGCTAAGACCTAGCAGGTTATGCACAAACATGTATTCCATGAATGGATGAGTGAACAAATGAATGACTGACTGAC